GAAATATCAGATTTGGCAAACATAGTAACCTGAGAAAACACTAGACTAAAAGAGTATGATCTAAAGTCTGCCTTAATATTTACACATTAATAAAATAAGTCCTACTCGAATACCTGTGTATTGAAATAGTTCATTCCTACATCTATTCTCTTCCATGAAACAAGTTAATGCTTTTGAGTCTTTATAATACTGAAAAAGTATAGTTAACTCTCTGTGCTTTGTGTAAAATTACATAATATTCTGTACCAATATAAGTGACCACTCCTTAATTCATATACACTGAAATATGTGTTAAGTAGTATCTAATCAAACAGTAATCTAATACTACTCTAGTAATAATGCAAGTCCAGGGGTGCCATGTTTTGGATACAGTAGATTAAATAATTGAAATGTAGCTAATGTACATGTCATCAAATATATCTGTAGTGACCAACATATATGTATCTGAAACTTTATATAGTGAAAATATAGGCATATATATATTCATATAAATTCTATATATTAATGAACTACTAGGAATTATATATTTCTGTGCTGTTCAAACATAGCTACACTGACATACCTATTAACGTATGCAATATTGTTATCATACTACCATGAGCACTATAAGTATACAAATAAATAATAAAATGCATACGGACATATACTTACATGCATTTGCTTAATGTATTTATGTACAAATACAAAAATCAGTATTCCTGGATTGTCAACCCATCTGTTTGTTTGAGCACAGGTTTCCAAGCATTAGATTCTTACAGTATGCAGTATACCAATTAATAGTTGGAAAGCTTCAATGCATACTTTGACAGTGTCTCTGCAGAGACATTGAAATACGAGATGATTTTAACTCAGAGTAAACATATTGGAGGAGATATATTTTTGTGCCCAGTTTGTAGAAGCTGTGGACCTGACAAAGTCTCCTACCTTTACACAGCTGAAGTAAATTCGTAAGAGTTGAATGCAATTCTCCCTATGTGGAAACGACTTATGGTTGCTTCCCTCCAAAAATATTTGTGAGTAATTGAATTGACACTCCATTGAAAACTGAATCCTTGCATCCTGCATAAACAGCGGAGTAAAAATAGATGTGTATGGATTCTGCCAGTAAAACAAAATAAAAGCCATACAAACAAGAAGCTCCCTTTTGTTCTTGGAATTCCTGAGTGCCATTCATGGGACTGCCTTGCCTTCATAAATATGCCCAATACGTGTCAGTGCTAATAAGGGTCAAAAAAAACATGGGGAACAACTGCTAACCTATAGCAGTTTGATTTAACAAAGGATCTCGCTTGATTACGCATCACACAAAGCATTCCAAATATTTTCTTTTTTTTTTTGCAAGATTATGCATATCAGTGGCCAGATTCCTGGTAAATATGAAGAAGAAAAAATTCTTGGTTTCAATGGCACTTGCTTTATACCATTTCAAAATATGGTTTACCGTCTGTCTTCCCCTTTTGTGACATTTCTTCATGGCTTTTTGCTAAAATTAATCAGACATTATTTTTCATTCACACCCCCCTTGTAGCTTCTTCCTCTTTTCATTTTTTTAATTATTTTCTTAAGTATAAATATGTCTAAAGAACAATGGCAATTTTCACTAATTTTCTCTGGAAACATGAGCGCATATTTGTCTTTTCCTTCACATTTCAACAAGACAAAAAGCAAAAAATCAACATCAAAGGTAATTAGACAAAAATCTTTTCTTTGTAGTATTATACTGCAGTGAGCATGAGCATCTGCAGCTTCTGTTTTTACAACTTTCATTGTTTATGCAGCTAGAAGCTATTTCTAACTTATACCACAATTCTGATCATCACTTCATAAATTCAGTGATAACCAGAACATTTCTTATTCTCTGTTTTTGTCATGGTATATGATGTTTCTTTTTTTAAACATATCTGTGTCTATGGTCTAAAGAAAAAAAAAAAGTCTGTACGCACTAAAACATCTATAAGCATGTAATTACACCATTTGTGCTTAGTAACCAAGAATGAATTGCTTCTGAAATAAGTGCCCTCAGACCCTTCCATGCACAGTAGAAGTTCATTAACAAAAGCATCTCTCAGGGCTAGAGCAATAGCTGCCAAAGGAAAACACTTTCTCATTTTCAGATGTCCACAATTGCAATTACACCGACTGTTAAACATGCTTTAGCATAGACGTCTCTGCTGGACAAGTGTACAGAACTCCTAATTAAAGGGCTTCATTTTTGCCACAAAGGGAGCTAGATTGCAATGGCATCTATTGTCCTATGCTTAATGAAGGATGAGATATAGTTTAAATAATTAGTAACGCTGCTGGAAAAGAATGCGAGTAATTAGCATAGCTTGACACCTAAAGCTACACACTAGTTGCTGTTGTTGGCATCAACAATGTGTTGATTTAAAAAGAAAATTGCAAGAAAAGAAAACATCACATGAAGCAGTTTTGTTTTTCTTCTTCGAAGATACTTACTATTAGCCACCAATTTTTGAATGAATCCACTACCCTACTGACTAGCACATACTCATTCTTTTAGAATTTTTTTTGAAGATTTGCGTAACCCATCTATCAAACAAACCCTATGTATTTAAAAACCCTTGGCAACAATATAGCAAGCAACAACCTGTTTTTCAGATGGGTATTTTCTGATTAACTTGAACACTGCATTTAACGCTGACATCTGCACATTAACTGTAACTTAACAAACACTAAATGCAAGCTTGAACCAAAGACTTACAACAACAGCAAAACCAGCAGTTACTGAAGAAATGGTATTACCATTTATGAAGAAGGTTGCCTCAATATGAAAAGGGAACAATCTTGCCTGTTCGCTGCTAAGCAGTGATGTAAATAAACCTAATTCCTTTATTCCTAAGGAAGAAATCCAATCTACTAAAGAGAAAATCTTATTCTCAGAGTTTAATATGTAAAACAGCTCACACTACTGAGATGGAAGAGGCAATGAGGAAAGGAAGGACATCAATTTCTGATTACCTTCTTATGAACAGAGAATGGACTCTGGATCTGGATGGAACTCACCTAGCCTACTATCCCTGGGCTCAGACTGTTGTAACTGGTGGCAAAATTGGTATGATTGGTATCGCCACAGGGATTAACAAAGTAAAATAAGTCTATTTCACTCATGACGAAAAGGACAGTAATTGGATTTCATGTCGGCTAATAATTTCCTGTATAAACTACTTCCAAATAGTTTGAGTACAAGGAAAGTGTAAGTCTAAACAAACAAACAAAAAAACCTGTACGGATAATGACAGAAATTGCTTCTGTAAGAAAGAGTTATTTGATCCAGGCCCACTCTAATCATTAAATTAGTACTTGAATTCATTGATGAGTCTGGTGGAAAGTACTCTATTATGTTTCTGCCAGGTTTGCTAATCTGGGAAACATCTAAGGTGAACACTGCTTGTTTGTTTGAGATACCCATCCAGAGTCTGCGTAGGCATCTTTGCACAGAAAAGACAGAGATTATGTAAAAACACACAGATTTTTTTCTTAACCATGTGCCATATTAAGATCTCAAGTAAAGACATTTGCTTCTTGAAGTCTTCTTCCGAGACTAGCCATATCTAAGTATACCAGCATAAGAAATTTTGTTTAACATTTATTGGCATTCTCAAAAATGCACTTAGCTAATACTGAACTTCAAAGGTATTTCACATCAAATTACACATTCCTACTCTTATCAAGTTGATAAATGATACAGGTGTTTAGTCTCTGTTAGCTTGCTGAACCGTAGCACCTGGCAAGCATTCACATTTAGAGCCCACGTCCCATTTTAGCAGGGGCTAAACTCTTCATTATTTAAAAAAAAACAAACAAGCACTTCTTCAGGAGAAAAAAAAAAAAAAGGAAAGCTGAAATAACAACTTTAACTTTAAAAAAATTAATCAAGAAATGGAAAGAAGTTAGCAGGTCCAAGTAAAGAATAGAGCACGATATGCATATCTGCACATGCACAGAGGCATGAAAAACATGTGGCATGCAGAATTTACCTGCACTCACACAAAGTTATCATGTGTGTGTGTAGTCTCACATTTTCATCTTCAAGTTATTTAAGAATATATTTCCAGTTAGTTAAATCTATTAATTCAGTTTCTTCTCATATCTCCAAAACTATGGCAGATTATCTTCGCGCTCCACACTTGTGTCTTCTCAACTTAACCAAGGAATCCCCCCCAAAACATTCGCAGACAAGTACATACAGACTAGCCTGAGGAAATCTCATTAATTCCTCTCCTCTGCTTGCAGCATCTAAATCAATGTGTTTGGTCCAAGGCTGCTTGATGGCCTCAGTGGGAGCCTGCAGAGCAACCTGAGCAGGTCTGCATCATGGCCTTTTGTTTCACTCAGTGAGGACACCCCACATGGGCCAGGTGGGTGCCAGCTGGGTGCCAGGTGAGAGGGGGGAACTATGGAATGCCACAAGGAGCTGAAAGAGATTTTTGGTTTAGTTTCCTTCAGGGCAGCATGGGAGGACTGGGGCTGGCATTTGGTCTCCCTGGCTGACAAGGCAGCTCAGCCCCTGAAATCAGCAGGTATAATTGCATTTCTTATTAGCAGTGATGCAAAGGGTTTTCTATGATAAAAACAGCTTGATAAAAAATAATCAACAGCAGAGCGTATGCAAAGAACACCAACATTTCCATCAGGGCCTGTGTATGTGCAGCCAACACAAAACCCGGCCAACTGCCATGAGGGAAGATGTGGATGGATGCAGATAAGCTAATACTTATCTAATACAGATAGCTTACTGTGCTAGCAATAGTGTACACTGCATGCAGCAGAAAAATCAAAGCACAACCAAGGAATCTTTCTTCAAGGGAAAACTTGATCCCTTTCTGATAAGCACGCAGCGGTCTGTACATGCATCTCACCTGATGACAGATCTCACACCTGCCTTCACCAGCCTGTGCCCAAACAAGGAAACACAACACTGAACAGCAGGACACCTTCCCTCCCCACCACTCCATATGGGGTGCGAGGGCAGCACTCACCTTCAGCTTGTCGTAGCGCTCGCTTAGAGCTGCCACCTGATGGTCTCGGTGCCGCCCGACCAGCTTGCACAGGGCACAGATCAGTTGGTCGTCCGTCACGCAGTACATGTTCACCTTCTCATCCTCGTGCTCCAAGCACATTAATCCCCTGATGTGAGAGTCCGGGATGGGCTCAATCAGCCGGTGGCCGGTGAAAGGCTTCTTGTTGGGGTGCGTGGCTTTCAGGCATTCCTCGCAGTAGGAGACCTCGCAAGTCACGCATGTCTTCACTGCCTCCTGGGCAGGGTCCTGGTCACAGAACTGGCAGAGGACCTTCTCGCAGGAGGACATGCTGTTGCTGTCGAATGCCCGCTCCCGACGGGTCTCACTGGGGGAGTTGGGCCCACTCACCGAGGCTTTCTGAAAGCGGTCGATGATGTTCTGCAGGGTGACGTTGCGCTTCAGCCCCTCTAGACCACGCTGGCTGAGGGTGATGACATAGCGGCAGGTGGGGCACTGGAAGGCGGTGATAGACTCCACCGGCTCGTTGGAGGCGCAGTGGGAGACCAGGATGCGGTGCGCGCAGTTGAAGCAGAGACTGTGAGCGCAGGGCAGCAGCAGCGGGTCCTCAAACAGCTCCAGACAGATAGGGCAGGTCAGTTCCGACTCCAGTGTTTCCATCTTCAGGCAAAGCTTTCCTGTGGCGTCAGCGAAATCCAGGGAAGCTGATCAGCTATCTGGAAACACACGCAAAATTCGATTAGGCGACAAACAACATGAGGGGTCAGCCATGGGGGGTTGCCAGCTTCGCCGCGGCTCCCGGTTCCGGGTGGGAGAGCAAGCAAAAGTTTTGAACCTGCACATGTACATATCAAGGTATTTAAAACTAGATGGCTTTTTTTTTCTTTTTTTTTTTTCCCCTATTCTCTCTGTTCACTTAGGAATGCAAAGCAAAAGCTCCTTATTCTTTCGCTTTCTCTTTCTCGCTCATGCAATTGAGGAAAGCAGCAGATGTTTCTCTGCACTGCTAAAAACCCAAAATGATTAAAACAACAATGTGATGATTTTCAAACAGCCTACTACCACAAAATCAGATTTCTTTTGCAGATGCTATTTTTGGCTTTGCTAATCTAGTAGTAAAACTTTGAACAATTTCACCTTTGTATAGCATTGTGCAAGAGTTAGCCCAGTATATAACAGCCGGTAACCTTACATCTCTCTCATTGCTATTCTAATTCACACAGTTCTTTTCTCAGGTTGAAATGCTAAGTTATTGTTATATCACAGCACCTAGGGTACATATCCGTGTTCACATGTGCAAATATTTACATGGATATACACAGGGAACAGTGTATCAAGGAAAGCACATGATATTTTTATGTTTTTCACGGATATATTTATCGTACTATATTAATATACTGCTCCTCTGTATTTCAAGATAATTTGTACCGTATGTACAGGTACATGTACGTGTGTAAATATGACACGTGTGTTTGCAGTGAGATAAATTAGCCAGAGGATTGCAGTGTCCTAACTGAAATACCTCAAGAAAGATGAAGCATATGAAATTTCTACTAATTGAGCCCAAATTCCTGATGATTCTAACCTATGAAAAGAGCCTGCTGTGAGAAAAATACTGAAAAGTGAGATTTGGTTAAGGGTTTGTCTGTCTGCATGCTTTGCTGTGCAAACACTCTCCAACGCTGAAACTCCTGAATTACGCTTGCTCTAGTGGCCTTATTAACCATCTGAGGTGGATTAGGAATCTGTGACTTTTGATGGGATTTTCTTGAGGAAGCGGCAGTGCAGCCCTCTCAGATATCCACTAAAACTTCATTTTGCTCCCAATTCTGCTTTCAGCATCACAGAGAGAATGCGAAAGCGTCGCCCCGCGCAGCTCTCCCTGCAGAAGCTCCCGTCAGGGCCCCATCGCTGCCGCGAGCGGACAGCTCAGTGAGGCAGAAGCAAGAGCCGTACCTCCTCACAGTACAATCTATTTAAGCTTTGTTGCTCATAACCAAGCACAGCTTCAGATGGCACAGCTGCATGGCCCCCACACTGTAAAGTCATTGTTCTGCTGCGTGAACTCTCGCCTCCTTCCCTGACCAGGAAGAAAGAGGGGCGGACAAGAATCCCCCCAGACAAGTCTTGGTTCATTAAGGGCGAGAAGAGCAGGGGCTCATTAGCAGCCTTGGGAACCAAGCGTGCTTGAACCTCCTGCACTTCATGGCAATTAGAGCAAGGGGCACGGCAGCAGGAATACTACCTATAACCCCAATAGGAACCACAATGAAATGGGAGAGTTTGACAGGCATGGAGGCAAGGTTCAGGGTACCTGTCAGCATCCTGCACTGCCTGCTTGTGGGAAGAGCAGCAAGACGTCCGTTCCAGAATGTGCTTAGAAATTAGAGTACTCTGTCTCTTTGCACTTGGGCTTCCTTTTATTCTGCCAAGAAATTTGAGTGCTTAGGGAAAGGCACTGACTCTGCCACAGAATTTGGTTTCCTGACTCTTCTGTGATGCTGATATTACTTAAAATGAAGTTCAGTTTGCCAAAGACTAATTCCTTTATAACTGTCCATCAGATGCCATAATTGCATGGCTCATCTGGTCAAAATTAAAGGCCTGGCAATTTGATATAAGCAGGAAGACAGCTTCTCTGCTCTCCCTTCAGCCATAGCCACACAGCAAAGCAAAAGATGAAAGCATTTTCTGCAAATGAAGAACAGTTTGTCTTCCCTCCTCTTCACTCTCTGTATCACACAAGTCCCAGAAGATAAGAATCTCATTCACTTTGTTTGAATCCCTTCCACACCACAACTGTATACCTCATCATCCGCTTATCCTGCGGGCTGAAAGCTGCACTGGAAATGGGAGAAGGGGATTTGGGGCTGGCAGCAGACAAGGTTTTAAGGAGGCAAACCACCTAATCATTGCTCATCTCTTGGCAGCCTAGTGAAAATCTGCCGACCTCTCTGGTTTGCTTCTTAGGACCATGTTCCGGATATGGGGCTTTCTTCTGTGCTCTTCATTCTGCACAAAATCCCTCCTGCTCTCTCATGTGCCAAAAGGTTTCATTCATTTTGTTTCCTTCTCAAAGCACACTGTCTTAAATAAAAGGATAACCAAAGGCTTTTCTACGTTACTCATCTAAAAGACAGTTGAAAAGACTAAACCAACAGAAAAATATTTGCATCACTGACTCATGGAAAAGTGTTTGAATCACTGTCATGGCTCTGTCTAAACACCACCATCCTAACGGATAACCCATTCTGATCTATCCGACCTGATGGAATAGCCACTTACTCCTGACTAGCAAGAATGTCAAAATCTGATCCTAGACTGTAAAATTCTTGGAATAGAAGCCCATAAAAGCCTGTAATCAAAGTGGAGCACGCTGACAGAACCAAACAAAGACATTTCCCTGTTTCCTTTTGCAGCTGCCAGTAAGTCAAAAAACACCGCAACTGGGAGAGAGCAATGAAGACTTTAAGAGGCACGGAAAAGGGGCTGTATCTTCTGGGTAATCCACTGATTGCTTTTTAACTGACTGCAATTCTGCCTTTGCTTTTAAGCTGATGTCTAAAGTACATTGTGCAGCTCATCCAGCTATGGAATTTTTTCAACTCCTTGGTCTTAAAGTTTCATACTTTGTAATTTACTTTTGTGTGATAAGAGAATTCACAGCAGCAGTAATGAGCCAGAAATAGGCAGAAATGTAATGTGTATGGTTTATAATTCACACACGGTCAAATTCCATAGTCAACATGGCCTACGTGGAAAGCCACGAAGAAAGCCTCAAGACCCAGAATGGAAAAAAAAAAAAAAAAAAGAAAAAAAAAAGTCTTTTTCTTTCTTTTCTGTCATGGAAAGTGAGAAGAGAATCTATCCAGGAGTGAGTGAAGCTTCCTAAGAAGTTTCAATTTCCATCCCAGCTCCTCATGTTGATTTCACAGCAGGAGTTAAGGCTGCTTTGGTGCACCTTAAATTGCAGTAGCCTCAGTGACATGGAAGGGGAAAACGGTTGTATGTAGAAGGAGGGAAGATTTAGGTTGGATATCAGGGGGAAGTTCTTTACTACGAAAATGGTAAGGTGCTGGAACAGCCTGCCCAAATAGGCTGTGGATGTCCCATCACTGGAGGTGTTCAAGGCCAGGTTGGATGGGGTGCTGGGCAGCCTGGTCTAGTATTAAATGTGGAGGTTGGTGGCCCTGCATGCAGCAGGGGGCTTAGAGCTTCATGATCCTTGAGGTCCCATCCAACCCTGGCCACACTATGATTCTATGATTCTCAGCTGATTTTAAGAATCTTAGTAACAAACAGTGGTATGCAAAAGAGCTGGATATGTGCCACGTTCCAGAAGTCCTTGATGTGCCACCTCACTGACAAACCAGTTTGATACGTTGTGGTGAATGGTGACCAAAATACACCCAAGTAGGTTCAAACAGCATTTTATTTACCTAACAACCTGTTGACTTAAGACTACCACGATATGATTACTACAATAAGACTATTCTGGCTCGGCTCTTCCAAACTCATATATGGGAATGTTCACATATGCACACAGGACTGCAGACTAAACTAAAAATTAAGCACTTGTGGATTAAATGTTTTTCTAGAAAATACTTGCCAACTTTTTCAGTTAGAAAATAAAATATTAAGTTGCCACTAGATGGGTATGAAAAGAAATTTCACATGAAATATGAAAAACTAGGTATGAAAGGCAATAAAATGAGTTATCCGTGTATGCATGCATGTGCCTACGTATCCTAGATGTATAGTAAAAGAAGATTTATAGTGAACACACATACTCTTCCTGAATGAACCATGGCAAGTGCTTAAGCAGTCTACTATCATAATACACAGCTGCAGTTTTCAAAGCAGCAGTATTTTTCTGTTAAGTGCACCATAAAAGGAAAATTTAAAATTTATGTTCTTGTCATAAAATTTGGCATGGGCAATAAAAACCACTTGCAATTTCTTCTGTTAGCTGTAAAACAAAAAGGAAGAAAATGTTCTTCTTTTGCCATTTTCTATCCCTCTCCAGGATATAGACAAAATTGCCTTGGGAACAACTGTTCCTTCAAACAAATGAATCTGATTGCTTTACATCACATTCAATAAATATTTCAAATGTGATTAAACCAATGGAATGCTCCATAGTATGATTTGTCCTAAGTCCATTAGACGTTTTACCTTCTGCACCAGAGACACTAGAGCCAATGAGTAACTTGTGATGTTAGCAATTTGCAGCACCACAGCTAGTGAGATAATCATCTAAGTATTGTAATTTGCTCAGAATTGCACAGATAACAAATAATCAAAACTCAGATATGTTTTTTTAAATGCTTAATGAAAACCTCCATAACATTAAACAAAGCAAGGTTCACATGCCCTCAAACATGAAAATACTTGTCTACTGATTTTTTTTTTACTTTGTTTTGTTGTTGTTTTCACCCAAACAGTGCAAATTAATAAATATTCCAAGGGTAGTACCTGTTCAACAGCCTACTATGCAAAAGCACATACAAAAACTGAATAGTTTATCTTAGTCATACATTTTCCCTGACAAAAGAATCATTAGCTGTCTTGTCTACAAGGAAGTAACATACAATATTTCCATGATGTTAAGATAGCTGTTTGTAACATGCAAAGGATATTAATGCAGCAAAGGAACGTCTGCCATGTTGCTTGCAGTGATGCAAAGCCTTGATAACATCTTTCTCCACTTGAACCATATGTTAGTAACAGAATATATTTTCAAAAAGCCAAATCCTGTATGTTCTTCAGTGAGATGAACATATAACAGAACTATGGTCTTTGGCACAATATCATGTATTCCTTCTCACAGGAGCTAAAACAATAATTGAGCCTCAAAAACCTAATAAGAAAAAAGGAAGAAAAAAAACATACGAAGATCATAGCTCGTAAATTCAAAAGTAATCAATAAATTGCTGATTTGATATTATATAAATGCTGTACTGCATGCAATATTACACATGTGCATAAATCTGTACTAATGCACATTTGGAATGCTCTTTGACTTTTCTTTTTTATAGTCTTGCAATCTTTGTAGCCTTGCGTTCTTTAGGTACAAGATTTAATACTTCCTCAAAATGCTCAAGAGTAATGAAAGCAAAGGATTATTTAATCCTTAGCACATGTGGATCAGCATTAGGTCTACAAGCATTAGTGGTGTCTTCCTAACAAACTTAACCCTGAAGATCTGTTCCAAAAATCCCTTCTCCAACTAAATTCACACTTCTAATTGAAGAAACTGTTATTTATTCTGGGGTATATCACAGCAGTGCAACAACAAATATTGAGGAAGTGGGTCACACCAAGTCCCACCAGTCTTCATATGGCTTTGGTTGCACAACAGAGCTGGAAATCTCTCACTTCTAGGGATTTCACTTCTGTAGTGCCTCAGGTGACATGGTACTCTTTATAGCAGACAATACAACTACAAAAATAGCCAGAAATAGTTCAGTATGTTCCTTCTAGTCATATACTTTCACACACAACTGCTATGTTCAGTGCAGCCTGGAAGCACTGGGGCCCTAAAGCTACTGTAATTTTTTTAGTGAAGGTTTTAGGGTGGCTTCAAGAAAGAATATCACTCTAAGCATATCATAGTTGTCCTATGAATTCTTTTCCTGTAGCAAAGGGGGAATCAATAATACCATTTCAATTCATAATCACCACCTCCATCCAGATAAAAATGAGACATTATAATTTCAAAGGTAGAAGCTCAAACTCTGTTTTCTTATCAAAGACAGCCTTTAAAATAAACAGCAGCAAACGAAGTCCCAGAAACTACAACAGGTAGGAAATTGTGACCTCACTTGCCAGGCAGATAATCTGAATTTACACTACCAGCAAGCTGAAGGCATATGGTGTTCTTTTGAATGACTAAAGCTCCCTGGGCTTATAAAGCAGTACCTATCAAATTACACGACGCACTGCTGGCATCTCTTGCTTTCTGCTCCTCACATGTGATCATTAAAAAGCCCTCCAAAGTTTTTCTTTTATTTTTTAAAAGAATAAACAACATTCTTAGAGCATACTCTGCACATTTGCAAAGGCTAAAATGAGATTCTAAGTGCTGCAAAAAACCTCACCACCCAGCACCAAGGAGTTCCTCGCTCTACTTGCAGTAAGCTGAGCTGCCAAAGATCGATGGTGTATTTAAAAATCAAGATTGTAATCAGGTAATTAGAAGGGGAAATTAGCTGTGAAGCGTGGGAGTGTGGAGGATAAGGAACAAATTATATTTGTTCTCTGAAGGTAATCTATTTTAGAGGATGGAGGTAGTTAGAAACCTCTCTCAGTGGTGCATGAAGCACTCAGCTCATGTGACCAGCAGTAACAAAACAAGAACCTGCAGCTCTATTGCTCCACTTGGAGAAGAAAAATCATTGTGAGGATCCTCATCAGATCCCAAAGCTTGCTCAGCTAAAATAGGGATATCTCCCATCTTACCACTGCCACATGGACCACAGTGAGTGTGCTTCTGCTGCTCCACATAGGGGTACTAAGTTCCCATTCTGTAAGCAGAATTATTTGGGGAGCATTCTTTGGCCCTATAAATCAGAGCAGAAGTCTGCAAATACATCATAGCAAATCATGAGTATTTAGCACATGTATTAGAAACCTATTCCTCTCTCTTGCTTCCTATCCACAGGGGGTGGTATTCATATGAGGTGGTCTTTATCAACTCCCATGATAGTTAATAGCGAATGACAGGTATCTTCAGAGGCACCTCCTGTAAACCATTTTAGATTATCTTTAGGATAGAATGATCTGTGCTTCCTAGAACTCATTTCAAATATAGAGAGAACTTACAGTAAAATAAATTAATCTAACAAGTAACCATATTCGGTGTTCTTGAGATCTAAGAAGAAAACAGGCAATTCACCTCAGTACTTTTTTTGAAGAATGTTCTTATGAGCCCTGTAATCACTCATTTAGCAAAATTTGCTTTCAAAGTTCTCCTCTGGAATACCCAGTTTCTACTTTCAAAGGTACAAAAGAATGCATGGATATCTGAATAAACTTGCAGGTGAGTACTGACTTGCAGTTATTAATCCAAATCACCCAAAATGGGCAGAACAGTCCACGACTGAATATTCTGACCCTGACACAACAGGTCAACAAATGAAAACGATGAGATCAGCTAAAAAGAAAAAGAAATCCTGAGCTGTGTGCAGCCTACTGTTCTGTCCCTAAGACATTCAAGGGTTTGGCATCCCAACTCAGCCTTTTAGGTAAGACCATGTATCACTCACAATGAGATGCAAATCAGTCTTCATTCCTTGTTAATAAGGCCAAATCCTAAAGTGGCAAGTTTCCCTTTAACCTCTCTGGAGAACTAAGTCATGTCAGCTGCAAAGAAACAGAAACGCTTTATTGTTTGCCAAAGGCACACCCACTTGTATTTTATTTCTTAAGAAAGTGTTACTTAACAGAAACACACCACAATAAACCCTGGTGATCTCAAATATTTTCTTCTATGCATTTACATTCTTTAAGGGTGTTATCCTTTAAAGACTATTTAAAGACCTGAGACAAACCAAACATTAAGTGTAACCACATAATCTTGACAAACAGGTCTTTAGTAGACATGCTGTGGCAAAACTTCATTGCTTCAAGCTAAGAAATTAAGAACAGCAAAGAGCTGCATTGTATTGGCAATGTAATTTGCAGCTTAGAAACCAAAAGGGTAAATAGCACTAGTTCTTTTTAAACTCTGCTGATGACCAGAGAGCTCTGGGAGTTGAAATAAGTTAGGAAACATAATAACACCAGTTTCTAATCCATTTTAGCAGAATGATAAGAAAAAGAGATCCAGTTTACCTATACTTCACGTGATATAAACCAGAAGACTGAATAAAAGCCAGAAGCTCCATTATTAAATTTAAGCTCACTCTTCTAAGAGAGTCGTCTTTCTAAGATATCATGATACAGCACCTCTGTTGCTTAGAGTCCTAGTTCCTTCCAGCCCTGAGTCACAGGGTCATACAGCTCTTCTCCTGTGCTCTGAGAGTTCCTGATCTTAGGAGAAGCCTTGCCATGTAGCCTTACAAAATTAGCAGAAAATGCTTTTTCACTATGAGGATATGGTTAAATGTGCTACTGAATGTGCATGCACTTGCGTGCAATGAAAAGGACCCACTGACAAAAGTAGTTGGACTGGTTAGTGGTTTACTTGACAACCTCAGATTAATTGTCCTTCTTCCAAACAGGCTAAGAGGGAGAACAGAAAAGCAGCTAACATAAGCAATCACTCCTGAGAGATACTGATACAGTACCTCAGACAGGCCTCTTACTTATAGGTGCTCAATGTCACTCAGAAAATAGCTTACCAGCTTTTAAGACAGCATGCAAAGAGAAAGCAATAGCTTAATTACATCCCTTTGAGACCCTACTCATCAACAACATATGAAGTCTTGCAGTTTATTAAAAAAAAAAAAAAAAAAAAAAACTTGAATAAATTGTCTGCCTCCTGTCATTTATCAACTAAGCCACCGCTAATGTGTATTACTGGCATACGTCTGCACCATCTCCAGCCTCAACCTTTTTTCTGGGAGCTTGCTAAATATCCAGTTTAACACTGGCCTGTTAGAAAACAGCTCTCTCTGAAATACTAAACTGGAAAAAATGGTATTAGATGTTCTCTACCTGCGGACTATGCATGCTTCTGATTCTGCTAAAGAAATGATGTATTTTGTGGGCTTTCAAATTTGCCTGTTAAAAAACTGTAGTGTCCAGACCATCCCTGTGAGTATACTAGTGCCAAGAAGTACAAAAAAACCCACTTTGAACAAACACCACAGTGTCTAGGCCATCCTACTTAGTGTCATAGTTCTAGATTACATAACTTCATCAGTTACAAATAAATAAATGGGATTTAAAAGACTTTGCTTGAGGAGTGAAACAGACTTTAGGGAATTACTGTATTTTTTCTCCTTCTTGTGTAAACACACATCTCAGTCTTCATCTGCTATTTTTAAAACAGAATTATAATGTTCCAGATGTTGTTAACACTATGAAGATGCTAATGCTCCCTTCAGCTCTCTTACTTTTGTTGCTTCGTGACAACAAGACAACAATAAACGCTTGTTTGAATGCACAAGAAGTAAATACAGACTCTCAAAAAGTTCCCTTTTCCCACCCCCCCATTTCTAGTACTGAAAACAAAATTCATCTCAGCAATAGACCAAACCCCCCACTTTTCCTGTACCAACACTGAACACCTTCAAAAACGTTTCCCCAGTCCCTCGGGATGACAAGCCCCCACAATCCAGCACTGGCTGCAGCTGGTGAGAAGCCACCCCACAGGTACCCACCGCTGCATCCCGCCCTCCTCCTCCCGGCTGGGCCATGGCTGCAGAGATAGGGACCGCTGACCCTTCGGGAAGTCTGGGCAGCCCAGTGGCAGCCCCCGTCCCAGCAATCCTATCCCAGCGCTGCCCTTCTCCTTCACTGTAAGGCAGCGGCGGCTGGAGCACAACAGGAAAGCCTTCCCTACAATTGCAGGAAAACCCGCTCCACCTAACCACCTCCGCCAGCCAGTCGACTGCCCTTCTTGCTGGGCCGGCACTGAAATACCTGCTTTCTCTCTCAAGAACCAACCCAAAGAGGGTGAGGAAGCAGGGTCCTCTCAAAGAGCATCCAGCAATCGGTGTGGAGGCTACAGAGGACAGGAGGCCGTGGGATAGCACCATCACACAGCCAGGCATAGGGCAAGCTCAGTCCCAGGAGCAATTAACTCAGTGCTGAGTGACAAGGGAGCGGCAGCGCCCCAGATGGTAACAGGAGACTGAGGCTGTCCAAACCCACCACATGCAGACTGAGAGTTTCAGAAGGCTCTGTTTATTGCTTTTTCCAAATAATACTCAAAAACTTAATAATAACAGACTGAAATCCAGCAGGAGTTTGCCAAAAATGGAGATGATCTGAAAGAGTATAGTGCCCAAGACCCCATAGAGACCCTACTTTCTGAAATTTAGCAAGTGAAACGTCAGAAATGTCAGAGGATAGTAGTTGCTTAACTTCCTTTTTTTTTTTTTTTTTTTTTTTTCCCCTAAATTTGCATGCAAGCAGCAAACTGCAACAGCAAACTACAAATGCTTCATCAAAGTGCCAAGGAGAAACCCTTACTGAAGTCACACCAGATGTTGGGTCTCCAGTAAAGGTGTTAAAAATTCATGCAAAGTGGAAACAGCAGGAAAGAACTGCTTCCTTGTGTTCGCCGCTTTTCATGTTCCAGTGCCTTCTTTCATACAATGCTAACATGGTAAAGTGAAGCAAAACATACCTCAGAGGTTTGAGCGTAAGGATGCAAAGCCACAGTCTTTGGTCTTTCTTCCATGGAGTCAGCACTTTGTTCTCATTGAAACAATAAACAACTGTTGTGATTATTTAATTTCCTATTCATTTCATTCACTTGAAACAATAGACTGGAGCCCTCACATGTGCACACCCTTCACAAGGATTTTTAAAGGTTTCTCCAGGCAGCGTCTGTTAGCATGTAAGTGGAATGTCAGCTCATAACTGGAGAAATGAGCATGCAGAAAGCAAGACAGATGTGTAGAAGGATTGTGATTATTGCAACTTTTTTTTTCTTTTTTTTTTTAAATGATATTGAATGTCCATAGGTAACCTATAGTCAAATCAAGTTATAACTGGCCTAGCTGGGGTCATAGCTCAAATCCAAGCTGGATGGATTTTAGATTCCTCAGCTCATTTCCTATCCCTGAGCTTTCATTAAACAGCATCTTGCAGTTTCTTTGGACTGTCTCTCCAGCCATGCCGTATCACATTCATCTGGGTGCATTCAGGATCAACCACCGTGAAGACTGATGTTACTGGCAGGTGCTATCCTACCTCTGTTTTTCCATACCATAGCTAGTTGGGGCTTTTCATGCCCTTCCCTTGCAGACAATCAACTGCAGTCTGAAACAAAGTTTCAATAAATACCTGGCTTTTTGTAGTGAAATCTAATCTATCACAAAAGCAATGCAAAGCAGTTCCAACAGCTCTAGTTTTACTGCTATTTTTACCTTGATACTTTTCTGCATGCACGCTTCTTCATCACATATGTTTTAATGGACAACACTGGAAGAAGCTTCCAAAACTTACCTGGATCTGTCTATATGACAGTATGTCTATGAAGGCTTCAGTGCACTTTTTACTTCATATACATGAGAATGCGCGTGCATGCAAGTATTACTAGAGAGGTAGGTTGATGTATCTGAGTTTAACAAAGCTTAAGTCTCAGATACATAAATGAGGATTGCTTATTGAACCACTGTAAAATGATTATGTTTCATCGTGTGAATTCTAAATAACAGAATTCTAGTGACATTATCTATAGAATTTATCTTGGTTTTTGTGCAGGTTTCTGTTTCTTCAGAACACAGGGTCAGCTCTGTATGGGAAAAGTTCGTCCTGTTGTTTAAAGGAGTGTTAAATAGCATGTTTCATTTTCTGCACACCCTATAGCTATGCTGTATAGTAACCCAGTATTATTTTGGTTACAATGCTCCTTGCAATCAAGAAACACAATACTGCAGGAACTGGAACAGATTGACGATAGGACAGAAGTGAGCAGGTGTCCAACGGGACTGTAAGAGGACCTAATTCCACAGAGCATACAAAATGCGAGGAAAACATGATAGCGGGACCAACTGTGAGAAGCAACTTAGTTTGTGCACAAAACTCACTACTGCAATTCCCTGAAACATAAGCACTCAGTATTGTTTTTGTTGGATCTGGTTGTCCTGCTTTGGTTTTGGAAATCCAGAAACTGAGGCTTCTACTTGTTGGTTTGCAGATCTCAACATGCAGCCTCAGAAACTCTGTCTTTACTGCTTTGCATCTATTCTACATGAGAAAATTCTCTCTGCCACTTATTTCATGTGCAGAATAGAAACGCGAACAAGCTTTTTAAAAGCTCAAGCATTTGTGGAATTCTATTTAATCTTATTTTGATGGACAGGGGACATATTTTTAGATTGATAGGTGCTGCTGTCAGACACCAAGCAGCTGAACTCCAATCAATCCACTGTACATGGAATGTAAATGCCATAGCATACCATAATGAGATCATAGGAAAGATCTGTTCTAACATTAACAATTAAAACAAATATGCTAATATGCCTGCAGTTTATCATTCTCTCAAAGGCAAGCCAGAGAGCAGACTCATAAATTACTTATGCTAGGCAGCTAATCATAGGATCTTCTGATGAAGAAAAATAATAACAATCAGTGGTTTGATAATGTATCTGCATTCTTTCTTTTTATATGCAGTCTGTACAGAGGGTCTGATCCACAAGACATCTACAGCTCCCTTGTTTGTTGAGCAGTGCCAAATTTAGAGCAGCCTCAGTGATGTTCTGAAATTACATCAGAACTGCATAGCTCTCCTAACTTGGAGAAGTACATTGATTAGTCCCTTCCTTGCCCACTCCAAATATAGCAAATGAAGGAAGCAGAGATGCTCCCACCACTTATTTAGTGTCTGCACCCTGTGATTCTCTTGGTATACGAAGGACATAGAAAGAATAATTATGAAAAAAAACATATAATAAAGTCCAGCTTTTTGGATTAATTTAGAAATGTCATGTCAGCAAAAGCATCTCATGCTATTTGAACAACTTCTTAATATTACATTGTTTCATATAAATGCTTATTACCAATTCTCTAAATAGTTGTTTAATATTAATTGTTCTTTGAACTATAAAATCCCTACTCTGTCTCGTGGATAGAAATCTGAAGATAATGATGGGTGAGTGTAGACAGGTATTCTCTAATGGTTCATCTGCATTTTACAATGGTATTTAAATATACTCAGACTTCGGCCCAATAATGCATACTACAAATGACCCACTGTTAATGCTCTCTGGAGAAAGGTAAACCCTAATTTCAGTACCAGCACTTGATCCTAGAACACTTTGTGCCTCTCTGGAGGAGCAATGGGTAGTACTTTATTCCTATCAGATGAACAGATTATGAAATATCCAGTTTCCCTTATCTTCCTAAATATCCAAGTAAAACACAAAGAGAAACTCCCTTCACTTCCAATGTACACCAGCTATTTGTAATCTTGGGGATAGGTAAAGCAGGGAGAGGGAAAAAATAAAAACTGCTCACACCCCATTTTACTGCTACATGCTTTTAACATGCTTTCCCCGTGAGTACTGAAGCCATTTGCTCAATGCTGCATGTGGGGTTTTGGATAGAGAAAGTGAAGATTAATTACTCTGTTCCAAATTGTTAGATGAATGAGACAGCACTGAACTGTAATCTGTCCCCTTGAAGGACGCTGCAGGAATGATCTAGGCAGGTGTCTGAAAATATCAGGTGGTTTAAATTGTTAAAATAGCATTTAAAGACTATCAATATGCAAACGTATGCTTCTAAAACAGAAGAAAAAAAGAAGAAAATAAAAAAGCATAAACCACATCAGACAAACACAAATAAACTGATTCATTTTTATGTCTTCTCCTGCAGCATAGCTGAAAGGATTGTTTACCTGTTCAAACTCAAGACACAATGAAGATTTTGGTCTAAAGGACTAGAGATGTGAAATTTGAATATTGTTCTTTATCATGCTTTGAAAACATTCCAGGTAACTACAACAAGCTGCTCGGTAAGTGGTCAAGATAGGTTTTGAAGTTAATTATTTTATACTTGCTGCTCTGTGTAACATTATTCATTGTGCTTTCTACATAGCAGGCTCTTGGAAAGAAAGAAGAAAGCCCCTCATTCTGCTCAGTTAACTATGCTGAAACAGTAAGCATTTTGTCAGATCACTCTAGAGGAACTGCTGTCATCTTGCAGTGCTAAGGCCTAACCTCTGCACTTCGTCAGTCATTCTCCATCTTGCTATGCTTTCAGATCAGATTTAAAGAGGAACAGATTCATACAGGTGAACACAAGGCAAATACATTGCCTCTATTCTTTGCTGATAAGCCAACATCCTTGCTGCTGAAAACAATCCAAGCTTTGAGTTCAAAGTTCCCTTAACAAATTGCATTTTAATCAAAATTCCTGAAAAAACTGCAGAAAAGTTATCAAGAGCGATAGGTATGAAATACCTTGATTCAACATGATAATAAGCCACAATATGTTATCTTTAGTGACTCAAACATTGTACGTTCAGAGCCAAGTCAAACTACATTTCTCCTGACCATACATGATTCTTATGTCACGTGCTTTGTCTTAACAAAAATTGATGTATTCCTGAGCAACTGTTAAATAAATATTTTGGAAATCACATACCTCTCTTAAACTGTATGTGACCATCAAACTGTTACTTCAATTACATGCATACAGGAATCTATGATTTCCATATGAATAAAATAATGTTTCAAATGATTGGCAAAATCACGAGATGAATTTCTGACTTGCTCATTCACACGTATTTCATGTGAATGGCAGCTGAAACTTCAGTTCTCTTTTCAACTAAGGCCATTCATTGTTCCGTGGCTTTCTTT